AAGGCACCATTCACCTGATTCCCTGCGTTCACTCTTCTTTCAATGTCTCTTTCACATTTTCCATCACACGTAAACATAGAACCCAAATACACAAACTCTTTCATTTGATCCACTTTCTCTCCTTCAATCAATATCGTGCAAATCGTCATATCTTCCTCTCTTTAAAAAACCATTACCTTTGTCTTTAAGCCTAAAATCGCAATATCGCCTTAACTTTCTCAAAATGGTATTTTAAAGCATAAATTTTGCAGGCTGATTTTACATCATGTTTCCTTCTTTTACCAATTCTTAAAGAAATGCATCCGAATTAAAATAAATAGAAAGATTTGCCATCTTCTGAGTAACCACTCTTTATAAGATACTAGTTTGAGAAAGTACGGTATCGATATTGTACTTGTAACATGTGTGTGTGCAGAATAAATTTATGTTCTTTCTTTCTTTCTATATAAATGCGAAAATTCAAGAACTAATTATTAATTCTTAATTGTTTCAAAAAGCAAAATTCTTAAATTCGTATTATTACTAATGTGGGCAGTCAGCTTACGACTATCAGTGCGCGGGGTCACATATTGATTGAGTCGTGTTATACATAATTAAATAAAACTTAAATTATATAATGTATTTATTAAGGTTTTTTGTAAAATAATTCCACTAGTTTTGTTATAATTATAAATACAAAGATCGAATACACATAATTCTTTATTTAATTATTTAAATTTTTTAAGTTTATCGAATGGCGCGATAAACTTAAAAATTACAATTATAGCGACATCTTTAGTCAGCGATAGTAGCTGTAAAGGTGACTCTCTGACTGAGTGAAGAAATATATTTCTCACAGATGACGCTACGGAAAAAGTCGTTAAAAACCAAAAATATCTGCAAGATGCTAGTATTATTTTAGTAGTAGTATTTTAGTTTATATTAATGACTTACCTAGCCTTATGGAGGGTATAAAACATGAGATAGTATGGTTTGCTGATGATACTTCCTTATTATTTAAAGTTAAAAGACACCAATGTTCCTACGACGATGTGAACAATGCTATATCTAAAGTAGTTGATTGGTTTGCTGTTAATAACCTACTTCATAATGAGAAAAAAAACAAATTGTGTGAAATTTACATTACCCAATGTTAGAGAGACGGTTACAAACATTGTAGTTAGAAACGAAAAATTGAATCTTGTGGATACAGTTGTATTTCTAGGTATAACGTGAGATGCTAAATTGCAATGGGGTCCCCATATCAGTAAGTTATCAAAACGGCTCGGCTCTGCAGTGTACGCGATTAAAAAAATAAGGAAACTTTCAGACGTCGAAACCGCTAGATTAGTTTACTTCAGCTACTTTCACAGTCTAATGACATACGGCATTTTGCTTTGGGCTAATGCCGCCGATATCAATAGAATCTTTGTCCAGCAGGAACGTGCAGTTAGGGCAATTTACAATCTGGGCCCCAAAGTATCTTTGAGAGATAAGTTTAAGGAAATTAACTTTCTTACACTAGCCTCACAGTACATTTATGAAAATGTAATTTATGTTAAAAGGAATAGAAATTTATTTATGAAAAATATTGACAGACATAACATTAATACGAGGAATAGAAATAAACTAGCTTTTCTTGATAGTCGTCTTCACAAAGTCAAAAAATCATTTAAGGGGCAATGTATACGCTTCTATAACAAGATTCCGGTTGATATACAAAATTTGCCTTTCACGAGGTTTAAAACTATAGTGAAACAAAAACTTTATACTAAAGGTTTATTATACAACTCCTGCGTACTTGGATAACAAAAATCCGTGGTAGTAACCCGTTTAGCTCATGGAGGTAGTCTCGATCTCTGATGTTTCAAATAAATAAAAAAATATTGTAAATGTTATTTACAAAGAGCAACCCCTAGAGTTTCTTGCTCATTCTTCTCAGGGGAATCTGCCTTACGAATGAGCGGTAGAGTTTAACCATTGTGACAATTTCAAGTGTAATAATGCTTACCTATGAAATAAAGATTATTTTGAATTTGAATTTGAATTTTGAATGCACATAAAAAAATTCGAAAGGTCTGCTGGTTCGTTCCGTGGCTTAATTGGCAGAACATCTGCCACGGATTGCCTGAGGGAGCTCGTTCGAATCCAGCCGGAACGAATGAATTTTTCTACGTGTTCGATCGTTGTTATTAATACCTAATTAAGTATTTAAGTTAAGACTTCGATGAACTGCTTGTAGATTTAACGTCGTCTTTCTTTTCGTCTTTCTTTTCGTCTTTTTTCTCCGTTTGATTGTTTTTTTTTTCAGATGATTCTCCTTCGTCGTCGTCCTTTAAAGAAATTTTTAAGATTTATCGAGTTCTTAGGTTTTCGCGATTGTTACACATAGGAAATGAAACTATTTTTCCGGATTTAAATCGCGTATAATTTGTTTTTTCAAACAAACCGACGTTTCGGGCCCTTTACAGCTCCCATGGTCACGGTTGACTATAATTTAAGATTTATTTTAGTGGACGGCATGAATACAATACGCAAATTATTGCATGAGTGTGTTTATAAAAAAAAATAAAACTTTGTGTGCTGAAAGGCGGACCACAGTGATTTGGAACACATTTTGTAACCTGTGTATCACAAAGAAATAATTAATTAAACTGAACCGCATTTGTGAACCGATCTTGAGGATTTTTTTTTGTTGGAAAGAGGGGTTTTTTATAATATCAAGTGACGGGACTACTAACTACTAACCTACACGCCTGACCATAACAGTTGCAGTACAAATCCCATTTGCCTGTAATTTCACCGGCACCCTTACCCTTCTAAACCAGAACGCAGTAATGCTAACAGAAATAGGTTGGCTTAGCTTGGCAGCAGAAATAGGTAAGGTGGCAGTGCTTCCCTGGACGTACTCTTTCACAAGGAGCTCTAGTGCTATTCTTACCTCAGTATAGATTCCATTGGAATTGGAAGAAAATATTCAACCTCTAAGGGTGGCAAACTATCCGGTTTCGTGGACTTTCCGGTAACCGATTTCAATATAGATGTAATTCTACCAACTTTTGTAGTCGGTTTTTTCAGTACTCTGAACTGTGATTGTTATTATTTTCTTTATGGAGGCCATTATAATAGGCTTGTGCCAGTGTCAGTTTTATAAGAATATTATAAAAATAATGGCGATCATCGCCGGCATCAGTGAATAACCAAGTTGGAAATTACTATGCATACGAAAAACTATACCAATTGAAATTGTGTTGATTCTACTATGTCAAAAATATTACATTAAGCAAATAGTAGTTTATGTGGCTGAACGAAGGGCATTAAAATACGAGTGTGGGTTTATATTCGTAAAAACATCTCACGAGTGTTAAAATGCCTAATTATATACAGTTACATACACTGCTTTATCTACACACATGTTATAAGCTCTCTGTGATGTGTTCAGGAACCGCATGTTACGACTGGCGAAATCGCGGCAAATAAAAACTTTTCTCACGCATGTCACACAACCGTAGTTTTTATTTTTAATTCATAGACAAACTAGAATCGGCCCCAACTATCATATCGTTCGATATCAAGTAACGTGTGAAATTGTCAAAATTGTTTGCCATTGACATTTCATTTCGAATAAAGCTTCATCTCGACTGATATTAGAATAGAGGTCCAATCAAATTGTTTTGTTTTTCAGAGAGATGTTCGAAATTTGAATGTAATAATAGCATCGAAATCGATGTTAATAAGAAGCAATAATAACATTTTCACAGATAAAAAATTTTATGCTAGTCGTAATTTACGATTTTTAAACACATTATAGAGAGTTTACGATATGTGTGTGGATATTTGAAGATATATATTGATACGAGAATTGGACCTGTACGTACCGCCTTGCTAGATAGTTACATTTCTAACATTTTTTTTTGTAACTATTAACCCTCTCGCGTAATATCGCACTCTTGATACTATAGTGTATTAACTCAAAAAGTGTATTTATTTAAAAATGATTATTCACCTCCAGTGAAAGATTATTAAAATGTATGTATAAAATTAAGTTTATTATAACATCTAAAACAAACATCCAAGCAATTTCATACCTTCCATATATTTAAAAATAAAAGGTTAAAAGTAAGTTCATATTTTTTATCCAGAACTATTTCTTACAATATTGTAACGGTTTTATTAACGTGTAGAGGATCAAATTTTACGTTTAGCAATGGTCTAATCTTGAATTTCACGTATTTTGAGTTACGACACTATTGTAATAGCAGTGCGATATGTAAATTTCGTAAGTTTTTTCAGATCGTGTACAACTACACTTGTTGTTGAAAATGTCTTGAAAATTGTTTAAGAACGCACACAAATTAGACAAAAATGTAACTCACAGATGGCGCTGAATAGAAAACATAATAACGATATGAAATATATATTATGACATACATGTTATAGATGGATTTTGTTTGATCGTGACCTATTTCGTACTTTGATTTTTGAATATATTTTGTATAAGTAGGTACTTATGTTTATCGTATTACAACGCTTAGTTTTGCTTGACATTGTCTTGAGCGCGTACGTAGAAACGTTGTTTTTTTTAGAATTTATTAAAACAACGAAAATGTAACGTTCGCAGCAAAAATGTAAACTTTTAAGAGTCTATACTGCCTCAAATGTCTTTGGTTGATTAATGTGGAAGAAGAACAGTGTTGAATCGATAAAATTGGAAAAAATATATAGTAAAATTAGGAATATGCACTGATTATTATATGGCCTAAAAAATTTCTCGATAGAAAAAGAACACAAACTTACCTAGAAATTTTACAAGAAAACCGCCGTATTCAATATGTACTTTACATACACCAATGATTTTTTATATCAGCTGAACTAAACAGAAGACGTAATGTATACGATATCATCATTTTTCAAATAGCTTTAATTTCTAGAGCAAAATGAGCAGTATTAATACGTGAAAAATTTTAATTCAAGGAAAAGTTATTTTCGTCTTAGGGCCCCTGGCAACGTTGTCTACATACCTCATTTGGGTCCGGTGGTAGCAGGTTTGTAGCCGCCTGGTATACCTTTGCATCAGATAGGTAATCAACTTCTAACATAGAATCTGAAAATTATTTAGTCGTATAAATTATAATAGGAATCGTCGTAAGTCATCTCCTTTGTAAGCTTGCACATTGTTTTTAATAATAATAATAATTAAATTCTTTATTCAGGCGTTACAACGTTAAAGCATTTTGTAAACCCATTAACAAAAACATAACAGGTAAAAGAACTAATATTAATTGCTATTTCGGTAACTACTCTAGCAAACCATAAAGTATTTAATGCCTGGGTCTGTCATTTAAAAAAAATAAACAACTTCAAAAATACATCACGACAATCGTGTGTGTTATTGTTTGGTGATTTTGGTGTTTATTTATTGAAAACATACCGTAAGTAGCGTTTTTTAAGTTTACCCTGAATATAAATGTTTATAAACTATACTTTAAGGAGTAATTTCATGGTAAACGTTAGAACCACTCAAACGGAATATCATATTTATCCAAGTACACCAAAAATTTCATTAGTCCTTTTTAAGTGCAGGATTTGCGGTGTATTACTGCATTTTATTTGAGATATTTTTGTTAGTAGTACGGAGGGTATTTATTTAACAATGCAGAATAATAATTTTTATTTATAAAAACTTGTATTTAAACTGAATGCTTTTCTAATTTGCGAAACCAAATAGCCGCCATTTTGCGGTTGGAGGAGCGAATCGCGCGAGCGGTTAAATAAAATGATAATAATAAAAAAATTAACACTACTTTAATAGCATAAAATAAAATTATTATATTGAACATAACAAAAAAAGAACTATTGTCAGAAATGTTGTGGCATTTCTACAAGTTATACAGCGCCCAGTCGAAGAAACACCTTTTTGTATACAAACATTCTACTCAGGCGCTAACGATGATTGTCGCTGTAATCTCATGGTAGAGGGACTTTAAAATATTACTGTATGTAGTAACTAGACCCACCACTCACCGTTATCGTGATTGTCAATAGCAACTCGAGGTACCGTTTCCAACCATTCAATGAATTGATCCATAGTTGCAATGATTTTTTATTAATATTATCGAATTCACTAAACACGTCCAGTCTTCTTGGAAAACAGTATCACTAAGTATATTTATAGCATTATTTGTCTCCTTCTTTCTTGTTCTGATAGAGTGAGATGGACAATTGTAGTGAGAGACAGATGGTAAGGGGTTTCACCTTTAATGAATTCTAATAATAAGCGCTCATGTTTATGTGTTGTAACAGCAAAAAAATAAGCACGGGGAAATTTTATAAGGTGGATTGTAAATGATAGTAGCAAATTCAGATATTTTTGTAATTAAACCTGATGTAATTTCTATAAGAACTTTCTACGAATTTTGTAAATGAAGGAAAAAAAGTGTTTCTAATAGAAAAAGTACTATATTGTATTTTCAGTAGGTGCTTAGAAAATCTTTATCAAAGATACACCTAATGCAACCAGATAAAGAGTCATCAACCTGCGTAGTTAAAACGTTAAAATAACTACAATGTACAGTCAAGAGCACATCAAGCTGACACTTTGTACTTTGGGCCGTTCTTATCGTAAGCGGCATAGAGTTAGATTTAAATCTTAAGTGTCAATCTTGATGTGCTCTTGACCCTGTACAAGGGTAAGATCACGTCAAGCTTGACACTTAAGCGTTAAATCCAACTCCGACAAAGAACGGTCCAAAGTACAAAGTGTCAAGCTTGACGTATTAATAATAATAATAATAATAATAATAATAATAATAATAATAATAACGTATTTATTTTTCTCTCAACATGCAAGGTTGGACTTACCCAAGTCCACAAGTCTTATTATAAGTAAGCCAACCCAAAGGTCCAGCAAAATAAATTAAGTTTGACATGTTAATGACAACTTAAATGTAACAAAATAAAATGAGACACAAATTGGAACAACGACTACGACAACGGCAACGGCAACGGCAACAACAACAATAATAATAATAATAATAATAATAATAATAATAATAACGCACACATTCAATATAGTCTTGCATTAGGGAAACCCCTGTTTCGTGGGTGCCATGGACACACACCTAGACAGCCACAAATTTCACCCGAAACTCACGAGAGAAATAAATACCAATATTTCACACGACCCGGGAATTAAACCTGGAACCTCTGCGTGGCAGTACGGCATGGTAACCGTTCGGACACGGCGGTAGTTAGTTAATAATACAAAATTACCTAGTTTTAAAATAATTTAAGTTTACAACTACTGCAGCCATGAGTTTAGACAAATTGTCCACGAAGACATCAGCAATCTGGTTGTGCGCTAGGAACTCATTCAGCATGATAATTACCCTGGTGGTTAGCACATTGTAGAGTGCGCGCTCCGGGGACAGCAAAAAGGTTTCAAACAGGTCTTAAGTTACGGCCCACCGAGCTTATAAATCTATGAGGCACAAAAATACCCAATCTTTCGAGAACGGAAGGGTTATCTATTTTGTGACGTATGAGTAGGCAGTAGTGGATAAGAAGCCTAATCTTCTGTCACGGTTCAAGCGACTCAAGGTCGACTATCGCAGAAACAAACATTGAGGGAGAAATGGGTAATAACCGTAACACCTATATCAATAACACCTTTTCATTGGTTTTTCTTTTATGGAATCGCGGAGTGTTGGTAGAATATGGAAATAAGTTCACGATACATTTGTGGCTCACTTTTCACAATGTTGAGAATTTAATTACATTATGTATTATTAGCAGTAAGGTGAATAAATGGAAATTAAATCATTACTATATCAAAACTCCATTAGTGGTCATAAACTCTGTATAATTATGTATGTTTTACTAAGTTATAGAATCATCATATTATTTTAACCCGTTCCTTGACCTTTAACCGCTCACGCGATGCGCTCCTCCTACCGCAAAATGGCGGCTATTTGGTTTCGCTATTAGAAAAGCATTCAGTTCAAATACAGGTTTTTATAAATAAAAATTATTATTCTGCATTGCTAAATAAATACCCTCAGTACTACCAACAAAAACATTTCAAATAAAATGCAGTAAGACACCGCAAATCCTGCACTTAAAAAGCACTAATGAAATTTTTGGTGTACTTGTATAAATATGATAATATTCCGTTTGAGTGGTTCTAACGTTTACCATGAAATTACTCCTTAAAGTATAGTTTATAAACATTTATATTCAGGGTAAACTTGAAAAACGCTACTTACGGTATGTTTTCAATAAATAAACACCGAAATCACCAGCCCAAACAATAACACACACGATTGTGGTGACGTATTTTTGAAGTTGTTTATTTTTTTTAAATGACAGACCCAGGCATTAAAAACTTTATAGTTTGCTGGAGTAGTTACCGAAATAGCAATTAATATTAGTTCTTTTACCTGTTATAACTTCGATATCCGATAAATCGGTATAAAATCATCACCGGCACCTCTAGGTGTGGTATGCGTCTACGGCTGCATGTATCGCGTGAGCGGTTATAGTTGCTTATATTGATCTTGTTTTTTATTTGTTCACTATACGCCATTTTTGGTCTTCCTCTCTTTCTTTTCTCTTCCATCCTCCCCTCAATATCACTCTCACAAATTCATCATAACGCAACAAATGCCCAAACATTTTCCCCTTCTATTCTCTATTGCATTCAAAAGACTTCTCTCGCCCTCAACCCTTTCCAAAACTTCCTCATTTGATCTATTTTCAATCCATTTAATTTTTCCATTCGCCTCCAGCATATTTCAAATGACTCCAATCTCTTTCTGTCCTTATTTGTTATTGTCAATATCTCCATATAGGTGCGATACTCCAGACATAGGTTTTGATGACTTTTTTTCAATTGTCTATATTTTAGAGGTGAAAATGTGTTTCTTTTTATGATGAGAAGTTTGTTTTGATATTGCGATTGTAGTCTTTATGTCAGAGGTACATTTGGAGTCTTCTGTGATAACACTACCAAGATGTTTGAAATGTGGTACCTGCTCTGCTAGAATGTTATTTGATGGGTGTAAGCTATAAAATGAAACAATATAAAATCAAGTTTGAAGCATAACTTTATTATTATTATTATTATTTTATGTAGAGTAGGAAGTAAACGAACAGAAGACGCAATTCATGGACATTTCTAACTTCAGATGATCTGTCTATGCGTTGCCAGCCTTTGAGAGCCCTGTTGACTTGCTGTTGAAGAGCCCCATGTCACAAAGAAAATACTTCAGGCGGGAGAGTCAAAGTGGAAGTCAAAGAATAAGTTATTCCATAGGAAAAATAAATTTACAGTTGCAAACGTCACATTTAGGCTACTGCTCGTTCACTGCGCTGACCTCCCTGAGAAGAACGAGCAAGAAACTCTAGGGATTGCTCTTTTCAAATAAACTTAAATGCTATAGAATACATACATTTTGAATCATATTTGTGTGGAATCTTGACTCACTTTGTTTTTCCATACATCTTTATCTAACACGTAGTATACAATTTTGTAATATGACTTTTCAATTAAAATACTTTTAATGTGTCGTATTGCGACACTCATAATTTTAAAATTATACAACTATTTTCTGACCTAATATAATATTTAGTCAAAAACCATGCGAATTTATAGAAATATTTTGGTTATGCCAATAGTACAGATTTTACGTCAATTATAAATAAAAAATAAACATAAATGGCATGTCTATTATAAACCATACGAAAAAAACTGCAGTACTAAAAAGAAATCTTCATTTTATTACAATAAAAAACTCACAAAGTATAAATTATAATAAAATCGCTTAATGATTACACAATAATTAAACATTAACTACATTACACAAAGTTTAGTATCACACGATAGTGGTTGGAGATAAAAATGTAGCTAGGCAAAATGGCTGAATGTTTCATAGCACCGCTGATATTCTGCCACAGCCTACCATATGTAATAAAGACTAAGTCAGTCCTACGATTGTTGATTTTTAAAATTTTTGAATGAATTGATTTGGTTCAATCTTATT